CACCATGCAGGTATGTTTTATTTGTCTACATAACACAACTTGCTCCATCACTCCTGCAAGTGGACTAGATGCTAAAATATACTCGTGGAGTACGAGATATATATAGAGTTACAAGTTATAACAAACCTACTCAATGTTTCTTTTCAAGTCTTTTGCTGCTCTATAACTTCTATAGCATAGATCCACGATTGAGCAAAGGACATATCAGACTATTCAGATTGATACCATGCATAAGCTTATCCCATATATGCAGCCGTTGGTCCTAATCTAGAACTTCTCCATGTGACCTCTTCAGAGATATGTATTTGAAGTATAATATAGTTCCCTTCAGGCCTTCCTAAATCCTAATTTTTGGATGTACCTGTGAATTGTTTTGATAAACCTTGTTGCCGATGCAGGGAACTGAAAACCTCCCTGGTCTAGTGCCACTTGCAATGTCCTCTATTCTCTCGAAGAGTCAGGGGAAAAGTACCGTAGCAATATCATACTATGAAATTTACATGGATAGGTGCTATGATCTACTAGAACTTAAGGAGAAAGAAATTTTCATATTGGACGACAAAGATGGGCAGATTCATCTCAAAGGACTTGCACAAGTTGCTGTCAGTTCAACGTCAGAGTTTCAAGAAGCATTTTCTTGTGCGGTTCAGAGGAGAAAAGTTGCACATACGGGTGTTAATGATGTCTCTAGCAGGAGCCATGCTGTGCTCACGGTTTATGTTTCTACTCCAAGTTGTGATGATACTGGAAATGTCATTACTGGGAAGTTGAACCTTATTGACTTGGCAGGTCTTAAAAATTTACTAAATCCAACCATGAATTGTTTTAAAAATATTGAACTGAAAAGTTACTCACATATTGTAACTCAAATGTCACTGAATTAGGTAACGAAGACAATAGAAGAACTTGCAACACTGGAATTCGTCTACAAGAGAGTGCTAAGATCAACCAGTCCTTATTTGCACTATCAAATGTCATTTATGCACTGAACAACAACCAACCACGAATTCCCTATAGAGAAAGCAAATTGACAAGGGTATTGCAAGACTCTCTTGGAGGAACAAGCCGTGCTTTAATGGTCGCTTGCTTGGTAGGATGTTGTATATATCATCTCTTGCCTTTGAGTACCATGAATGCAGCACTGCTCTTAACATTGTCAATTCTTTTCATTTGTTCATAGAACCCTGGAGAGTACCAAGAATCTCTTCATACAGTTAGTTTAGCAGCCAGGTCAAGACATATATCCAATTTTGTTGCCTCAGCACAAAAAGGAGATACTCCAAAGGTCAAAATCGACATGGAGGCAAAGCTTCGAGCATGGCTAGAATCTAAAGGCAAGACAAAAAGTACTCAGAGAATTGGGGCATTTGATTCACCATTTACTAGCAAAACTCCAAATTCCATATGCTCTACCAGAAAGCTAGGTTTGTTTGGGAGCTCTTGTAAGCAAAAATCTATCAGTAATCAAGGAGCTTCAAGCATAAAAAAGAGGTAAGAGATTACTCTATTATCTTGCTGTATTTACCTGCCTTTGATTTTGATGATTGCTTAACTATGTTGTACAGGGATCCAGATGGAGCTTGTAGAAATTTATTTAAAAATGGACATCGAGCGAACTTAGTAGCAGAGGTAAAAAACAAAATGAGAACTATAATTTCTCCCTAGCTTGTTTTGAATTTATGATGCCCACTCTGTCTTAAATAGAATAAATCCATTGACAGACTTGATTCATGGGAGGTCTTTTGTTAAATTTCTTAGCTACTGTATATGTGATGTGATTCCATTTCTTTGAATGAAGATGAACTAGTAACCATTAAACGCAACTGTCTCACCTCCACTTTGAGTTGATGTAACGTCTGATAGCTTGATAAGCTCTCAAAGAAAACAACAATTCCTAAATTTTTTTCATCTTTATCACAAAGAGAATCACTCAGTTAGTGTGCGAGAACTGATAATTAACAACTAAGAAGAATTTTGATGTAAAACTTTTTGAAAGGACAACAGAACAATTTGATCACACTTTTCATTATAGCAGAATTGGATTTAATTGATAAATCTTTTTAAGTTGGATTTCTGCATTAATGTGCAAATGCAGGTTCGGGACCTTGCTGATACTGGTGGACAAAGAGAAGAGAAGAAATTTGAGGTTTTCGCTGAAAGGGTTGTGCCTGATTCTAATACAGCGGTGCATGGTAAATGACCATTATAATAACCACATCTCAGTATTTACAGTCTGCTACATGTATTCTTCATCCCAATTCTATATAACTGACTCATATTAAGCTACAAGCATGTGACTTTCCAATTATATATGTGCCAAAGCTAGTTCTAGGGTTCTCCTCCATCTATTCCTCCCAGAGAGTGTATAGTATAATGGTTTATGGGCCTATGGCTATTCTACCTCAATTCATATGAAGCTGCAGCAACTAGACAATTTTTCAATGATGTATGTGCCATAAAAGTTCCGTACTTTTCTATCAATGTTCTCACAGTGAGTGGTTGAGTAGCTACTCCACATAGGTTTATTAGCAAACTTTCACCGATTATACCTAAAACATTTGATCTATCTGGCCATGACTTATTTTCACGATATTAGGTGCCCTTTGAGTTTCTTGCTTTTTCATATATAAGATTGCACATTCCTTTGTATGACTTGTTATAATCAAATTCTCATTTTTCTTGAACTTGCTCGTCCTTTATAAACCAGCATCTGTTCATGGATGGCACAATCGCGGCTCATTTCACAAAGATTTTAATTAGTCGAACCCACTAAGCTTAAGGGTCACTACACAATCATTTCCCCCGCTCCACTATAAAATCCTGAAAATAGCACTCATATTTGTGTTCTTTCACATACACGAGGCATTTGTACTACTATTACATCATGTATTTGAAGCATGCCTACTCCCATAACCCATTTAGACTAATGTCTAAATCTTGTCATTTGCATATGTAACTTAGTTGGAGTTTATTTGTTTAATTAGCCCTTTTTACATATAGCTGTGAAAATTCGTAGTTAAAACTTTTTCAATATATAAATATAAAACATCTTGCTTACAAGCAGTCAAATAAACTTTGAAGATTTTTGTCTGTTTGGTCTTGTAGATGAACAAACCAATGCAGAGGAGAAAGTGATCATGGTTGATTGTTTGAACTCCCTTAAAGCATGTGAGGTTACCCCTAGGAAGGTCCTTTCTCCCATCAACTCCAACGTAAACAATGAGAACTTGTCCACAAAGGACCAAATACACCTTATCTGCAATCAGCAGACTCCTATGCCATCCTTTGCTTTAAGCAGTCTTGATGAGAACATAGCAGCGTTAGGAACTCCACTTGATAAATTTGGTGCACGAAGTTCTAACTTAAAGGTGAGCAGGGAATCCTTTTGTCATTATATTCTGATTGTTTAGCATTTCTGTTTATAATAATTCTTTGTTGAGTATACAGAACTCTCTTGTCCAAGAATACATTGAGTTACTGAACACAGCTAGCAAGTGAGTGTTTTTTGTCTTCATTTCCCTTTTATTTTTTCTATTTCTTCTTTCTGCATCGAGACTTAACTTTGTTTTGTGCTACATTGTGTTAGGGAGGAACTCATGGCCATAAAGGTATGTTACTAGTCTCTTCACACAATTCCAACATTCTCAATCTCTATACCAACAATGAGTTTTGATTCCATTTTTGCATGATATAAACATCATCATCGCTCATACTAGCTGTGATCTTTTATTGCATCTTTCATATCATTCAGGGAATTGGACAAAAGATGGCTGAATACATTACTGATCTAAGGGAAACAAGCCCCGTGAAATCAGTAAGAAACTCTTTTTATGGTATCTGATGTTAAAGATTCTTGATTTGTGACTGCATAAAAAACTAAGCCTACTTGTCTGGTTGCAGCTAGATGACTTGGAGAAGATTGGATTGACATCAAAACAGGTAATTCTACGCGATGATCTGCATTTCCATTCTACTCCTTTTTCTTGTGTCTGTAGTATATGCAGTATTCTTATAGAGTATTTGTCTCTAGGTACATAACTTATTCAGGTGGGCTGCAAGAGGAGTATTGGGATGAAAAACTTCTCTGCAACGTCTTGTTGTTTGTAGGATCATGTAGAAGAAAGATTGTGTTTCTGGCTAGAATTTTAATGTATCTTGTACTATTATTTATGAGTAGTTGGATTTGAGGGCTTGTGTTAATTACCTCATAATACTAAGTCTCAGACTAGAGCTAGACAAAGATTTACCTTCCTTTCTCCTCAAATGGCATGTATCATTGTACCAATTCCAACCATAAATATTTCACCATTTTCATAGTTATATCTCTTGGGTATTATTTTTGTTGGATAGCTTTTTCCTATCGCGGAATTTCCTAACAAAGGCATCATAGTATTGCTCCTCCTGAAGGCTGCTTTGTTTAGATAGACGTGTTATCTTTGTTATATTCGTGCTTGCTGCTGCCTCGATACAATTGTGACTATCATTTCTCTTCTTTTACGTGCAATGGGTCCAACATGGATATGGTAAGTGAAATCCCAAAAGAAAAATGGAGAATGGAATCAAACTCAGCGGAGAGCGCTTTTAGTCGCGCTGGTGAATGGAAGCTCCCCTATCAAGCAAGAAGCAAGCGACTCTTCCCTACTTCTCCCCAAAAATAAGTAAAAATAGAATATAAACGAAAAGTTGTCATAATCAATAATTCGTTTGTTCTTGATAATTTGTTGACTTATCATTATCCATATTTTCTTCTTTGAAAGATTTACGAACATTCTACCTTCTCCAAGACCACCCAATGGAATTCACACATTTGCAAACACTCAATACTCTGATCCCACCCAATGGATTTCGCACATTTGCAAACACGCTACCTTCTCCAAGCCCACCCTATGGAATTTACACATTTGCGTACACTTTATGCTCTCCAATATCAAGACTTAAAAGATTTACTATAGTTTTGCAGCCTAGAGTGTATCATAAACACACACAAAAAAGAGGAAACATTAACAAGGAAGTACTTGAATTAGTTGAAACCACAACAACACATTTCCAAACTTAGATGCTAAAATTACCAGATGCAGAGATGCTCATGTTACACAAACCATATTAATGGTTACTTATACACTCCATTACTATATTTCTTATTACAGGGAAAAAAAGAACACATATTTTTTCCCTGTTTCAACACACACACACTAAAACACTAGAGAAAAACACATTTTTCAACTATTTTCTTCAACCATAAAAGGCTAACACCATGATCTCTGCTCTGTTTTAACTATAGTTTGTTCACTTAGAACAAGTGCAAGGGTTGCACTTGCAGTCAGATCCACATTTGCAGCCATTCTCAGCAACAGGGGATTCACCCATCTCCATGGCGCCGAAGCTTGTCTTCTCAGGTCCCACCCCAAGCACCAAAGTCTCGGTGGTTGTGATGCTTTCGGTGTAGCTCATGTCTGGGTACATCTTGCATCTACAACACCAAAATCCACCACAAACACAAAAAATAAGAAACTTATTGATACCCCTCAAAACATCAAAGAAGAGGAAGCCTAATCAGGGGCGGAGCTAGGTGGGGTTAGTGGATTTGGACCCTAGCTTGTTCGTAGCTTTTCTGTAGACCCTATATTTGTAATAGAAAAATAAGTAATAACTTGTGAAACTAACAAAACGGATTGACAACTCAATGATAAGTAAGGGGAAGGAAATTTAGAACCCAAACTCCTAATACTGTTTCTGCCTCAACACAAAGTAAAGGAGAGCCAAAACCCAAAAAAAAAGAACTTTGTTGGGCAACACACATACAAAAAAGGAACTTGTCACCGCGGGCGGACCTACATAGAGTCCTCTGGGTGCTTGGGACTCATTAAGCTATATAGAAATTAAAAGGTATTTGTGTAAAGTTAACATAGAGCATCCAATGAACAGGCTCATTGGCTCTTGAGTTGGTGGTTAAGGTTCTTTTAGTGTTGTTGATCCTGAGTTTGAATCTCATCTATAACATGTCTTTTTTATAATTTTGACTCCACCCAGAGCTCACTTTTAATGCGTCTTTTTTATATTTTTAACTCCACCATTTTCGGAGTACCCACAACCATAAAATCCTAGATCCACCGTTGCTTGTCACCAATCCCTCAAAATTAGCATATAAATTGCCCAACACAACTATTTTTGTGATCCCATAATTTCCCATCAAAATTCAATTTTGCATTAATCCATGCATGGATCATCCAGAACAGGATAAATGGGATCAGAATTTCGTTGTGCAAAATTTTGATAAAAAGTACCTAAACAAAAAACCGAGAAATCACACAACAAATCTCCGATTAAAAAATTCACTCCTTACACACAAAACGCATCCATGCATGGATGACGGATCACAACAAAAACAGAAAAAATCCTTAATTAAAGTTCTCGAGTTCAAGCTAATTATAAAACGAAAAATCTTTAGAGTGCTTTTTCCTCTCGCCTTTACACAGCGAAAATTCATTCAAATTAATCACCGTTCCATACAGATATCAAACACCAGACGAGAAATCAAAAAAAAAAAAGAAGAAAAAGGGGATTTACCCTCCACAGCCACTGCCGCACTTGCAGCCAGATCCACAGCCACAGTTTCCTCCACAGCAAGACATGATTGATCTGAGATTCAAAAATTGAGAAATCAAATGTGTATTGATTGATGTAGAATGAGTGATTGAGTGAAGAACCCTGAGTGTCTATTTATAGTGAAATGGTGGTGGAGGAAGGGGTGATATCGACCGTATACGTGTCATGATCGTATGGGAATATGTTATCCTTGTAAGTCGGTCCATACATGATTTATCTGTCCTTTTCTATTATCATAATCTGTTCCCTTATCATCACAATTACCATTCGTAACGCCGTATGTTCCAGATATATTTATTTGTATCGGGTGTTTATGACTTAATACTTCATTCGTCATAATTTATGTAGCACTTTTCGAGATTCAAACGATTCTATCTTTGATCGTAAATTTTTCATATGTCTTTTAATTATTTTGAATTGACAGTTACTGTGACTTATAATACTTTTTACATAGTTTACAAATATATAAATTTCATTTTAAAAAAATTCAAGATTCCACGGGCATATATTCGGTCATACTTAAATTGTTTGACTTTCAAAAAATTAAAAATGTCACATAAATTGGGACATATGAAATATATTTGTAAGGGTAATTGAGTTAATGTAGCATATGAAACGATATGAGAAAGATTATGGTTCAATTTCATTGGTTAATGTCATTTTAATTGATTAGGTTGAATTTGTTTGATAAGATTTACATTTTTAATATGATTTGTGAGTTATTATATTAAAGTAAGTTACTTAATATACTATAAAAGAGTAACGACTACAAATAAATATTTTTTAAAAATTGATAATTAAATTTAGATATTTATGATACTTAGAAAACAAAAATAATAATAATTTAATATAGGAGTACTTTAGCACAATAATAGGTAATGTTTCCGTTTCAAGATTTTTGTTTTTTAATATATTATTTCAAGTTTGAAACTTAGAATTCTGAATGGTTCAATAAAGATTATAATTCACATGTGTTGGTAATTATAATAAAGCTTAAATCAAAATCAAATTAATACTAATACAAAAAGAAAATCAATTCAACACTAAAAATGACAATAATATTGAATATTTGTTTATTAGTTTTACATTAGTTTAGACAATTCAAATACATAATCTAATTTTAATTTTCTTTAATATTTAATCATGTAACTAATACTTATTAAATTTATTTTAGCATGATTTAGTACTTTCAAATTATGATAATTTTCATTATAACTTGTTAATTTGTAATATTTGTTTTACGCAATTTCATTATTATTATTTTTTGTTGGATATTTTAGTGTCATTACTCATATCATATTTTGTGTTATTTTCTTAAAAACACCTTAGATAGTTATATTTTGATAGGACTAGAGAAATATTTGAAGTACAAGTAAATTATATGTTTGTATGAATACTTTACCGAAAAAACCTGAAAATTCAAAAAAATCCAAAAAAACCCGAGGTCGAAAAACTCGAGTTTAATTGATTTGATTTGATTTATAGAGTTAAAAATCCGACACAAATAATTTGATTTGATATTAGAAAAACCGAACCAACCCCATCATTTACACCCCTAATAAACACACACAAAAAGGAGGAAACATTATCAAGGAAGTACTTGAGTTAGTTGAGAACACATTTCCAAACTTATATGTTAAAATTACCAGATGCAGAGATGCTCATGTTACACAAACCATTTTACTGGTTACTTATACATTCCATTACTATATTTCTTATTACAGGGAAAAAAAGAACACATATTTTTTCCCTGTTTCAACAGACAGACACTAAAACACTAGAGAGACACACATTTTTCAACTATTTTCTTCAACCATAGAAGGCTAACACCATGATCTCTGCTCTGTTTTAACTATACTTTGTTCACTTAGAACAAGTGCAAGGGTTGCACTTGCAGTCAGATCCACATTTGCAGCCATTCTCAGCAACAGGGGATTCACCCATCTCCATGGCGCCGAAGCTTGTCTTCTCAGGTCCCACCCCAAGCACCAAAGTCTCGGTGGTTGTGATGCTTTCGGTGTAGCTCATGTCTGGGTACATCTTGCATCTACAAGACCAAAATCCACCACAAACACAAAAAATAAGAAACTTATTGATACCCCTCAAAACATCAAACAAGAGGAAGCCTAATCAGGGGCGGAGCTAGGTGGGGTTAGTGGATTTGGACCCTAGCTTGTTCGTAGCTTTTCTGTAGACCCTATATTTGTAATAGAAACATAAGTAATAACTTGTGAAACTAACAAAACGGATGACAACTCAATGACAAGGAAGGAGAAGGAAATTTAGAACCCAAACTCCTAATATTGTTTCTGTCTCAACTTAAAGTGAAGGAGAGCCAAAACCCCAAAAAAAGAACTTTGTTGGGCAACACACATACAAAAAAGGAACTTGTCACCGCAGGCGAACCTACATAGAGTCCTCTGGGTGCTTGGGACTCATTAACCTCGTCTCAAAAATAAAATAAAAAATATATATATATATAGAAATTAAAAGGTATTTATATAAAATTAACATAGAGCACCCAATGAACAGACTCAGTGACTCTTGAGTTGGTGCTTAAGGCTCTTTTAGTTTTGTTGATCCTGAGTTTGAATCTCACCTATAACATGTCTTTTTTTATAATTTTGACTCCACCCAGAGCTCACTTTTAATGCGTCTTTTTTATATTTTTAACTCCACCATTTTTAGAGCACTCACAACCATAAAATCCTAGATCCACCACCGTTGCTTGTCACCAATCCCTCAAAATTAGCATAAAAATTGCCCAACACAAAACTATTTTTGTGATCCCACAATTTCCCATCAAAATTCAATTTTGCATCAATCCATGCATGGATCATCCAGAACAGGATAAAGCAAAATTTTGATAAAAAGTACCTAAACAAAAAACCGAGAAATCACACAACAAATCTCCGATTAAAAAATTCACTCCTTACACACAAAACGCATCCATGCATGGATGACGGATCACAACAAAAACAGAAAATCTTTAGAGTGCTTTTTCCTCTCGCCTTTACACAGCGCAAATTCATTCAAATTAATCAACGCCCCATACAGATATCAAACACCAGACAAGAAATCAAAAAAAAAAATTAGTACTATAACAAAAACAAAGGAAGAAGAAAAAGGGATTTACCCTCCACAGCCATTGCCGCACTTGCAGGCAGATCCACAGCCACAGTTTCCTCCACAGCAAGACATGATTGATCTGAGATTCAAAAATTGAGAAATCAAATGTGTTATGATTGATGTAAAATGAGTGATTGAGGGAAGAACCACAAGTGTGTATTTATAGTGAAATGGAGGTAGAGGAAGGGGTGATATCGACCGTACACGTGTCATGATCGTATGGGAATATGTTATCCTTGTAAGTCGGTCCATACATGATTTATCTGTCCTTTTCTATTATCATAATCTGTTCCCTTATCATCACAATTACCATACGTAACGCTCGTATGTTCCAGACATATTTATTTGTATCGGGTGTTTATGACAAACTAAATAAATTAATACTTTCTTCGTTATAATTTATGTGATATTTTTTGAGATTCAAACGATTTTATTTTTTATCATAAAATTTTCATACATCTTTTAATTATTTTGAATTGACAGTTATTGTGACTTATAGTACTTTTTACATAGTTTACAAATATATAAATTTCATTTCAAAAAAATTGAAGATTCCACGCGTAAATTTTTGGTCATACTTAAACTGTTTGACTCTCAAAAAATGAAAAGTGTCACATAAATTAGGACAGAGGAAACATATTTGTAAGGGTAATTGAGTTAGTGTAGCATATGAAATGATATTGAGAAAGATTATGGTTCAATTTCATTGGTTAATGTCATTTTAATTGATTAGGTTGAATTTGTTTGATAAGATTTACATTTTTAATATGATTTGTGAGTTATTATATGAAAGTAAGTTACTTAATACTCCACTATAAAAGAGTAACAACTACAATTTTTTTTGAGGAATTTCTAAATTAACCGATCAAACTGTATTATTGACAGTACCCTATTGATAGTGACTTCTTACCTACCCAAAGAAATGACACTCTTCTGTTGGAACAAAATATGGGCATGCACGTACCTTGGCTTAAGTTGTTATGTATATTAAAAAATTATTTTTAAAAATTGATACTCCTTATTTAGATATTTATGATACTTAGAAAATAATAACAATAATAATAATAATTTAATGTAGGAGTACTTTAGCACAATAATAGTTAATGTTTCCGTTTCAAGATTTTTTCACGTATTATTTTTTTCTCGAGAACTTGCTAGATACCAATAGTTTGTGACCCAAAATCTACACAAGCATGTTCATTGACCACACGACTTTATGTCTCATATGATTAAGTTGTGTTTAATGAATAATATGATCATTAAAGAGTATTTATAAAAAAATTGCAAGATAATTAAATAATTTCTAATTTTAATAGAAAATGAAGAATTAAATGATTATTTTGTTAATGAAATGTGTTTAATTATATACGATAAAATGATTAAGAAACATGACACTTATTAATAAGAACGATACGTATTTTGTATCACATATTTCTGATATATATTGCTCATGTGTTAGAAGGATTGCATGGATGACACTTTCTGTGAAGTTTAAATATCCGTAAAATAACCCCTCAAATGATGAAGTATTGCTCAATTGGCCAAATTACTTTTAAGAATAACTAATTTCGAAATAATAAATAAATTTGTATTTCGATGCTTATCAATGTATACTTATAAATAAATTGAAGTTTGTGTTTTTAAGATATTTTTAAATTACCCAAAGATTGATTACTTGTTCTTATAATCATTAAACGTTAAGTCTATAATTCAGATATGTCCATTACTTTTATATATTATTGATTGAAATAATAAAAATTATCAAATTATGATTTTTATAAAAAAAAAATATATATATTTATTATGTTTAATGTGGTATTTATTTATGTTTCACCCAAAGGAGAACATCAAAAGTACATAAATCGTTTCTAATTAAGAAGTATTTTGAGTTTATGATTCAAAATTAATGAATTAGTATATTCTACTTGCAACACTTGCTCTTTATTTAAATTTTGCTTATG